GGGCCTCTTAGATGCTCTGGCTCCCACACTCCTTCTTACCTCACTTCTGTAGGATTATTCAAGGTCTGCCTAATGTTTGGCTGTGGGTCTCTGCATCTATTCCCATCAGTTGCTGGGTGAAGCCTCCCTGATGACAATTGGGACTCTATAAGTGTAGCAGAATATCATTAGGAATCATTTCATTGACATTTATTGGTTTATTTATTACCATTCATGTTTGGTTCTATCCTAGGTCTCTGGGCTGTCCAGCCTCTGGGTCCTAGCCCTCCAGGCAATGTCAGGGGTAGGCTCCCTCTCTCATGGTATGGGTCTCAAGCTGGACCAGTCACTGGCTGGCCACTCCCATAATTTCTAAGTTGCTGGAGGGCTTCTCTCCAGGTTCCACCAAGCCCCGCAGTTCCACAATCCACATATAAAATAATCACTCAGATGCTTATATTACTTATAAACTGTATGGCCATGGCAGGCTTCTTGCTAACTGTTTTTTTATCTTAAAATAACCCCTTTTTATAAATCTATACCTTGCCACGTGGCTGGTGGCTTACCAGCATCTTTACATGCTGCTTATCCTGGTGGTGGCTGCAGTGTCCCTCCCTCCTTCTTCCTGTTTCCCCAATTCTCCTCTCTCCTTGTCCCGCCTATACTTCCTGTCTGGTCACTGGCCATCAGGGTTTTATTTATATAGAGCGATATCCACAGCATTTCTGTGCTACCTTTACCCCAGCATATCTTGTAGTCAGGGCAAATTATAGGTCAAAGGTTGTGTGGCTAAGTTTGGGGTCCCAATCCCTCTACTGGAAGCCTTGCCTGGTTACAGGAGATGGCCAGTTCAGCCTCCATATCTTAGCTAGGCTCATCCTCATAGATTCCTGAAAGTTTCCATTGTACTAGGTTCTATCTCATCCCAAGGATGCCCCTGATTCCAGTTGTCTTCCTCAGTACTCTCTCCTTCCATCTTCCCCCAACTTGACCACTCCTGTTCCCATGTCCACCCTCCACCAAGACTCCCCCACCCCCATTGACTTGTGATGTCTATTCTATTTCCCATTCTCAGTGAGATTCATATGTCCCCCCTTGAGGCCTCCTTGTTACCTAGCCTCTCTGGTCTGTGGATTGTAGCTTGATTATCATTACTTAACAGCTAATATTCACACATAAGTGAGTACATACCATGATTGCCTTTCTGGGTCTAAGTTAACTCACTCAGGGTGATCTTTTCTAGTTCCATCCATTTGCTGGCAAATTTCATGGCATTGTTTTTAACAGCTGAATATTACTCCATTGTGTAAATGTACCACATTTTCTTTATCCATTCTTTGGTTGAGGACATCTAGATTGTTTCCACTTTCTGGTTATTATGAATAAAACTGCTATGAACATAGTTGAGCAAGTGTCCTTGTGGTATAATTGAACATCCTTTGAGTATATGCCCAGGAGTAGTATAGCTAGGTCTTGAGGTAAATCAATTCCCAATTTTCTGAGAAACTGCCACATTGATTTCCAAAGTGGCTGTACAAGTTTGTACTCCACTAACAGTGGAGGAGTGTTTCTCTTGCTCCATATCCTCTCCAGCATGAGCTGTCACTGTGTTTTTGATCTTAGCTATTCTGACAGGTATAAGGTGGAATCTCAGAGTTGTTTTGGTTTGCATTCCTCTGATGGCTACAGATGTTTAACATTTCTTTAAGTGCTTCTTGGCCATTTAAGATTCCTCTGTTGAGAATTCTCTGTTTAGATCTGAACCCCATTTTTATTGTATCATTTGGTTTGTTGATGTCTAGTTTCTTTAGTTCTTTATATATTTTGGAAATCAGCCCTCTGTCAGACATGGAGTTGGTGAGGATCTTTTCCCATTCTGTAGGCTACTGTTTTGTCCTTTGACAGTGTCCTTTGCCTTACAGAAGATTTTCAGTTTCATGAGGTCCCATTTATTGTTGATCTTAGTCCCTGTGTGAGTGGTGGTCTGTTCAGGAAGATGTCTCCTGTGCCAATGTGATCAAGGCTATTCCCCATTTTCTCTTCTATCAGGTGCAGAAAGACATAGAATCAATAGGTCATACTTCAAAAACATGTACACAAATTTGGAAATCCAAAAGATTTGGATTTTGGAAATTTTGGAAATCCAAAATGGAAAACTTTCTTGACAGAAACCACATAATCAAAGTTAAATCAAGATCAGATAAACAATTTAAATAGACCTATAACCCTAAGAAAATAGAAGCAGTCATTAAAAATCTCCCAACCAAAAAAAGCCCATGGCCATATTTTTTAAGAACAGGGTTCTATCAGACTTTCAAAGAAGAGTTAATACCAATACTCCTCAAATTATTCCACAAATTATAAACAGAAAGAACATTGCCAAATTCATTCTATGAGGCTATAGTTGCCTTGATGCCCAAACCACACAAACACTCAACAAAGAAAGAATTACAGACCAATTTCCCTCATGAACGTTGATGTAAAAATACTTAATAAAATACTCACAAGCAGAATCCAAAAACACATCAAAAAGATCATCCACCATTCTCATCTAGGCTTCATCCCAGAGATACAGGGATGGATGATGAAAAACTGTCGATGTAATCCACCATATAAACAAACTGAAAGAAAAAAAATGACGTGATCATCTCATTAGATGATGAAAATGCCTGTGACAAAATCCAACACCCCTTCATGATAAAAGTCTTGGAGAGATCAGAGATGCAAGGGACAAACCTAAACATTATAAAGATAATATACACCAAGCTAATAACCAAAATCAAATTAAATGGAAAGAAACTTAAAGCAATTCTACTAAATCAAGGACAAGACAAAGCTGTCCACTCTCTCCATATCTTCCATATCTATTCAATATAGTACTTAGAGTTCTAGCTAGAGCAATAAGACAACTAAAGGAGATCAAGGGAATAAAATTTGGAAAGGAAGAAGTCAAAATATTCCTATTTGCAGATGATATGATAGTATACATAAGGCAACCTCCAAACTCTATCAAGGAACTCCTACAGCTGATAAACACTTTCAGCTAAGTAGCTGTTTACAAAATAAACTAAAAAAAAAAATCAATCAGTATCCCGCCTATATATAAAAGAAATCAGGTGAACAATACCTTTCACAATATCCACAAATAATGTAAAATATATTGATATAACTCTAACCAAGCAAGTGAAAGACCTGTATGGCAAGATCTTCAAGTCTTTGAAGAAAGAAGAGGGAGAAGATATCAGAAGATGGAAAGATCTCCCATGCTCATGGATCAATAGGATTAACACAGTAAAAATGACCATCTTACCAAAAGCAATCTACAGATTCAATGCAATCCCCATCAAAATTCCAACACAATTATTTACAGAACTTGAAAGAACAATACTCAACTTCATATGGAAAAACAAAAAACACAGGATAGCAAAAACAACCCAGTACAACAAAAGAACTTCTGGAGGTATCCCTGATTTCAAGCTGTGCTATAGAGATACAGTAATTAAAACCTCATAGTATCAGCATAAAAACAGACAGGTTGATCAATGGAACAGAATTGAAGACCCAGATGTAAATCCACATATCTATGAACACCTGATTTTTGATAAAGCAGCCAGAAATATACAATGGAAAAACAGAAAGCATCTTCAGCAAATGGTGCTGGTCTCACTGGATGTTATCATGTAGAAGCATGCAAATAGATCTGTATCTATCAGTCTGCATATAACCCAAGTCCAAGTGGATCAGAAACCTCAACATAAAACCATATACACTAAGTCTCATTTCTTGACTGTCAGTTTCAGTAAATGATTGCCAGGAGTACAGACTCTATCTTCGAAAGTCTTTCCCTCTGAAAGATTATAAACTGGAGAAGCTCCCTCTTGCTTTATCCCCATTTGGCACACTGCATTTAACATCTCCTCCTGTCAGGATATCCTCCTGTCAAATGATTTCACTTTCTCTTTAAAAAATACAGAAATAAAATCTTCAAGTATCTGTATTGTAAATGCCTTTATTCTTCATATTGAGAAAACATGTTAGGTATTTAGGATTTGAGAGGTTATTGTCTTTCTGGATATCTAGAAATGCAAACAATCCTCTCCCGGTATCAGTTAATGATGTGTAAGTTGGGTATAATGGCCCACACCTTTAATCTAAGTAGTAGGGAGGCAGAGGCAGGAGAACATCTGCATTGGAGGCTAGCCTTGTCTACGGAGTGAGTTCCGGGACAGCCAAGAAACCTTGGGTTTTATTTTTATTTTATTTTTTTATGCTAGTATTTTATTAATCCAAAAGCACTTTACAAGAAAGTATAAGTATGGCTTCCAATAGGAATGTTATACTTGGTTTATTTTATTTTTTGGTGTGTGTTTGTGTGTGTGTGTGTGTGTGTGTTGTTTTATAACTTAAACCACAGCAAATGGATGATCTTCTTTCTGAGGGTCATATAGAAAATGGATTACAACACAAACTAGCAGCAGGCTAGACACTCAGCAGTCCAGCACTGTGTGTCTTAGAAGGTCTCCTGGGGAAGCAGCAGTGTTGTTCTTCTGTAGTTTAACAAGAAAACCCTTCCTGTGAAGAGAAGGGACCTTTCAGCTCTCAGGCATGCCTAAGGCAAGATCAGGTTTTTTTCCTTCATGACTTCATTTTAAAGTCTCTCTCTCTCTCTCTCTCTCTCTCTCTCTCTCTCTCTCTCTCTCTCTCTCTCTCCACCTCCTTCCCTAAATTTAAATGCACACTGTGTTGATTAAAGCATATTTGTCGTTCTTTTTATCCTACTAGATTTCTAATTTGAGAAACTATGTATGTGATTATCTCACAAATTAAAGAGAACTTAGGAGACGATGCTGAAGTATTCAAGCATCTTGACCCTCAACTTCCTCCTGTAACCCACTCTACAAAAGAAGTTCAATTCCCAGAGTATGTTTTAATTTAAGAGGGCAATGGAGGGCGAGAGCAGATTGGCAGCAGGGCTGTGCTGATTCCATAGTAACCAGGGCTCTCTGATTTCCTTTCTTCAGCTCAAAGCGAGGATGCACCTTCTGGGTTTGCGAAAAGCCAAGGTTCCAATGACACAGAAAACACTACAGGTCCTGATGGTGAGTCTGAGCTGCCTGTGCTCCACTACGAATCTGTGGTATTTTGTGCACATGTCATCTAGGATTATGGGAACTATTTGATCTAGGAATAAATGTATTTGTTTAGAACAAAGTAAATTTCAAAAGTCAAATTCAACCTAGGAAATAATAAAAATGGAAGCCTTTAAAACACACACACACACTCTTATGTATATGTGTGCGTGTATGCACATATGAACAAATTGTGTTTTAAGACAACACATGTGGTTCATGGCTTAAACATTCTTCACTATATTGAGGTCATAGTGAGTCATTCAAGGTCAAACTGAAATTAACCTGGCCTGCTATTATCCCTGCTACCCCAGCATTCCAGAGCGCTCCAGTGAGCTTGGGCTAAGATTCCTCTCATACCCTCAACTACTTCACCTCTGATGCTTTGACCAAACACACAATGACTCTTTCAGAGCACCTTAAAAATGAACTCACTTAACTTTAGATGCTTTTTAATCAGATTCAATAAAGATCCTGGAACCATGAACTTATTAACATCCCCTCTCCTACACACCCATGCTAAGAATACTCTTAAATAACATTATTTGCATTAGAAAAATACCTGTTTCCACAGACATGATTCTACTGAGTCATTGAGGTTTGTGTTGTAAATATTATAATAGAGATTCTTTTCGAGTTTGATTGGAGAGGTGCACTGAATTTTGATGAAATATCCTTTAGTAACACCAAACACTTGATGCAAGAGAAGCCAGGACAGGAGAGCCAGCAGCCACCCACAGCACAAGGGACATTCCTTACTTCTGTAGACTATGGAAGGCAGGGTCAGTGAGCTTGACAGCTTGCTGAGTATATACTAGATAAGATAGAAGCCAGTGAATCTGGTCGCCTTGGGCCTGGGAATGAAGACAAGCTGCAGAGGAGAATACTTGTCCCTCAGCAACAGCCAATCTCACAGCTATGAAAACTAGAATCCATAGGTTATCAACTATGTAAAGTGATACATGTTTACTAATTTTTGGTGATACATAAAATTATAAAGTTACACTAGTTGATGGTCTACTATGCTATGGTCTATAGATGATTACATCATATAATGTCTAAGTCAGGTTAAGAATATTCATCCAATAGTACTTATTTCTTCATGGTAGAATCTCAAATCCCTTTCAGCTCTTTGAAATGTAATTCTATCATTCTCATCTACAAACATCCTCCCATGCAATCCTACACCACAACTTGTCACCCTGACCCCACTGTAACTCAAAAGCCATCACAGAGCTCCTCGCAGTGTGCCTGGTCTCTGGTCACCACTGTCTTCCATTCAGTTTCTGAGACATGACTAATCTCTTGCCTTTCTGTATCCAGCCTATTTCTTTTAAGACAATCTCTAGTTTCACAAATGTCACAAATGACAGGATTCATTCCTGTAATGACAACTAGTATAACTAGTATTCCACTACATATATATGCCACATTTTCTTTATCCACTTATAAATTCCTAAACTTTTATTTCTATTTTGTGGATATTGTGTTGCAAAGAAGTTTTGCAACATACTGATTTTGTTTCCTTCAGGTATATTCTCAGTAGTTGGATTGCCTGATCATATGGTAGTTCTCTCTTTTTTTAATGAAAATTCCATACTATTTTCTATAGTGACTATACTATTTTAAATTCACACTAACAATTTGCAAGGCTTCTCCAAATCCTTGTCAACTTTTATGATTTCATTGTTTTTGATAACCATAATTTTTACTGCAAGGAAGTGATATCTTTGTGCAATTTTTAATTTGTACTTCAATATTCCTGTTGGCCATTTTTGAGAAATGTCTGCTTAGATTTGTTGCTTATTTATAAAGTAGGTCACATTTTCCCTTGCTAATACATTTCTTTAATCTCTTTTATTCTGGCTTTCAACCCTTTTTCAGTGGTGTACCTTACTGAGATTCTCTCCCATTTGATATAAAGTCTCCTCACTCCATCAACTATCTCTTTTGCTGTGAAAGAGCATTTGAATTTGATGCAATTTGCTTTTGTTTCCTGGGCTTTTTGTGGCCTGTGCCAAAAATCCTTGCCCTTGTCAATGTCATGAGGTGTTTCCCCTGTTTTCCTCCCATAGTTTCATATCTTCTATGAGTCTTTAATCTACTTTTAGTTGATTTTTGTAACTGATGAAAAAGAGGAGTCTAGCATTACTCTTCTGCACATAGATATACAATCCATGTGCATCTCTTAGTGAAAAGAACTATCCTTTGTCTAGCACATGTTTATAATGCTTTCTAGGCTACCTAGTAATTCACTTGACTGTTTTAAGCCCAAAACTTGGTGCTTAAGTCATTCCAGTTTTGAAGTATGCTTACCACCTATTCCTTTGTTCTTTTTGCTCAGGATCGTTTTAGCTATTGGAGATTTTTATAGCTATATATAAAATTATTTTTCCCAACTGTGTGAGTAATATCATTATAATTTTTATGTGGATTAAGCTGGAGTAATATAGACATTTTCTACTTTTTTGTATTCTCTTTAGTTTCTTTGATCAATATTTTGTAGTTAAGTTTCTCCCTAGATATGGGATTGATTGACTTATTTCTATTTAAAACAAGTCACTATGGCCATATAGCAATGGTACACATACGTTATTTCAACTTCGCTGAATTTCATTAGCAATTCTACTAGAGAGCGGTCCTTGGCATTTCCTATAAGTAAAATCAAAGTATACATGGGCAACTTTTCACTTTGGGGCCCTTTAGATCTACTTTTTACCCAAGTGCCCTGGCTACAATGTACAGAACTTGAACAAATGGAAGTGGAGAGAGTATAAGACTCTTATTCCACATCCTAGGAAGCTTGTCAGTTGGGTTATTATAATTGATAGTTATATGTTATATTATGTTTACACAATTTGTCCAGCATTTTAATCATGAAACAGCTTTGACTTTTATCAGATGCCTTGTCGGCATCGATTCACATGACTGATGGGTCTGTCCTTCATGCTCATTTGGTGGCTCATCATGGTTGCTGATTTGCATATATTGAACCATCATTGCCTCCCCAGGATGAAGCCCAATTGTCCTAGCATATAATCTTTTTACTGTGCTTTGGATTTGGTTTCCTAGTTTTGTGCACAATTTTACATTTGTGTTTATTGAGGCTATTGATCTGAGCATTTTTGCTCTCCCGTCTTTCCCTTTACTCTGTGGTGAGGGAGGAGAGAGGCCTGGTTACCTGGATATTGAATGAAAGTAATATTGGCTTTATGAAATGAGTTTGGGAGAATTTCTTCCTCTCCTAGTTTTGGAATAACTTCCATGAATCAATACTAGTTCTTTGAATGCTGCCTTCATTGAGCAAAACCCAGAAATACTCATGTCAGTGACACTAAGTGGGTAGAATTGGGCTTTTTATTACTGAGTCAATCTCCTCTCTTGTTATTGGTCTTTTCTATTTCTTCATGATTCAGTTTTGAGAACATGTAAGCATCTAGGAAATGCCTTCTTCTAGATTAACATTTTTGTCATATAGTTATGTAATGGTCATGATCTTTTGTATTTATCAGTTGTATTGCCTCCCTTTAATCTGATTTTATTATCCTCTTTCCTTAATTTAGCTGAGGGTTATTTTATTTTTCTAAAGAAGCAGCTCTTTTAGTGTGTTTTGCATTGTTTCATTATATTTTTACTAATGGTGGGTTTCGTTGATATTGTAATCTAGATACTTGATATTCAGGGATAGGTTGAGATATTTCCAATTTTATCTTATATTTGGATTAATTGCTATAAATTTCCCCTTTAGTATTATGGCCATTGTGTCAGATAAGTTTCAGTATGTTATCTACATTTTTCATTTGTTTTAATATATTTTCTTTCTTTTTCTTATAAATGAGAACACTTAATTGGGGTTGGCATATGTCTCAGAGGTTTAGTCCATTATCATCATGGCAGGAAGCATGCAGGCAGACATGGTGCTAGAATGGTAGCTGAGAATTCTACATCTGGATTGGCAGGCAGCAGAAAGAGAGTGAGGCACTGGGCATGGCTTGAGCATCTAAGACCTTAAAGCCCACCTCCAGTGACATACTTCCTCCAATAAAGCCACACATCCTAATGGTGCCATTCCCTATGAGCCTAGAGGGCCATTTTCTTTCAAACCACCACAATGAAATTGTACTGAAAGGAATGGAAGCCTGAGCCAAGGAAGCAAGGCTGAGGCAGGAAAGGACTGAAGGAAAGGCTCTGGAGGGTGAGGGTAAGAGGATGACAGTCACTCAGATGTGTTGACTTTTGCAGCTCCTTCCTCCCCAAGTAGAACTGACTCCTTGAGCCCCTGGCCTGTGGACATGACTGAGCTCAGGCCAGTGGGGAAATAAAAGAACTGTAGGTGGGGATACCTTGAGGTTCTCTTTACAACCACTGCTGGGCAGCATCCCTTTGTTTCTCCTCCTTCTAACAGCAGATAAAACAACTTATCATAGTGAAAAGAGATAAGAAAGGTTGTTTTGTGACAAATGGGTCAATTCTTCAAGAGAACAAACTTCTAAATATATACAGCAGATCTTAGTGTCCCTAAGTGGATGGCTAGACTCTTAACACAGCAGCTTCAGAGAGAAGGCAGTAAGATGGGGTCTACTGTCCAAGTCAGGCTTCTTCCATAAGAAGTCAAGTCTCTGCAGGCCCAAGCTTGAACTGAGAGCTCCATGCTACTCACTGAGCCCAGCTCTGGACTTCAGGGAGCACTGTGGTGGTGAGGGAGGGCAGGCATGGTATGAATGGTAGCTGAGTGAGTACGCGGATAAGGACTGACAGAGGCCCAGACGGAAGATGATAAGCAAGAACCTGGAGAGCAGAACTGGCTGCTCTCACAGGACATCATATGGGTCTTCAATATATTTCAGTGACTAATTTTATTCCTACATCCAGTGATTGTTCAAATGTACATTTTATGTGGACTTTTAAAGGTTTCCTTGTTATTGATTTTTTTTTATTAAATCCTAAACAGTATCATTTACATCTAATGA